CTTCCACTTGTTCGTCTGATGGCTGTTCTTCTCTTCCTTCCACTTGTTCATCTGCTGGCTGTTCTTCTTCGCTTTCTTCTGCCACTCTTTCGTCTAGTTTTCAGTATAGAAAAGAAGTAAATTAAGATCTCTAGTATACTGATATACCAGAATGATTTTTTTAAAGTTTTACAGGTGTCCAGGTAACCCAACCAAAACCTCGCTCTCTCCTATTGCACTTCATTTTGGTCCCTGAATGTTTTGAACAAGCTAACCCAGTCAGCCCTGGTAGCAAAACAGAGCTACAGTAGTTGAATGAAAAAAGCTACCGATTTTTGAGACAAATTCTCTTTCTCAGCACCTTAGGAGATGTATAGAGAATAGTATGGAGAATATGCATACTGATGTCAGGGTGTAAAGCAGAAGATATGACCATGCAGTTCTCTATGGAGTAAACTGTGGGCTGGATCCCTGGATTAGAGGTTAGAGCTCAAGTCCTGAGTAGGGTCACTGTATTGAGTTTGCGAGGCAACAAGATTTAGCCTAATATTATGGCTCTATCTAGTCCAAGGGGTATCAAGTTGGATAATAAATTAACAGAGAAACCTGACAAAATTCAGAGAGAATAACCTTGAAGGACTAAAAGCAACTGTTTTAAGTCAGGGGTAACCAATTTCGATTTCCACAGATAATGAACCACTTACGTTTACTGTATTTTTTTGGGCAGTGTAATGTTCATTATAAGTAAAATCCTAAAAAAATTCTAAGGATGAGCTGAAATGGAAAATTCCCATCTGTAAGTAAACCAAACAGCTAGTAACGTTCAAAACTTAAAAGAATTGACTTACATGTACATTTACATGCACGCTAACTATCCAAAAGTTACCAACCTGATGCTATCCGTTCCCTATCTATCTCTGAAAACAGAACAGGCAAAATTTGCTTGTTATTGTCATAAGTAATGGCACCCACAGCGACGGTCTCTTTTCCGTGTTTCATGGTAATTGGAGCTCCAAAGCCCCTCCAAACACTGCCGGCATAAAAGCAGCCATCAGCGTTTATCTTGCTGGAATTTAAGTCAGTGAGATATGTTTCTTCGTCTGTGATCCTCACCTTGAGTGGTACTATGTAAAATGACTTTCCAGATGTGTGAACGACGTAACAGATTAATTCAGAACCGTCCCTATTTAACTCTTCACTGTATATGGTAAATGGACGATGATTTAGTAAGCCAGACCGTTTTTTTCGAATACAGCCAAATTTATTTGAGTCAAGAGGTATAACTGCGAGGCCAGGTGATTTGATCATCACTTCTTTAGACACTTCGGAAAGTGGCACCCTCGATTTTTTGTCTTTGTTTGTTGCCTTCTTGAACCTCAAAAAGTAGTCTCTTAAATCCGCATCGAATGGAATAACCTTCTCGCTTGTGATAAGATGTACTTTTGTATCACAATTCGGAAAAAAGTCTCTCACGAGGCTTCCAGTACCAACCACGCTGGTCAAGTTGATAGTCTGTTCAGGAATCCGTTGCTCGATCGCACAAGTAGCTAAGATGTACTTGCACTCCCTTCTTACTCTGTCTTGGTTCCCTTCCACTGGCGTCACCATAATTATCTGACCGCTTGAGGTTCCACTTTGTTACTCTATGTACTTCCAAACAATTATTTTCCCTTCCCAATCACGAGGACCTGATGTACTCAGTAGGCCTTTTGCAGCTAGAGGTCACGTGCTTGGAAACCCCATAGCAACCCCATGCTGGACTGCAAGCGTTCCAGTAAACAAAAGTGCTATAGAGGTCAAGCATGTGTGGTTTCAAACAAAAGTTTCAAGCGTTTTAGAGACTTAGCTTTTTTTAATCTTGTCATTGTCGTCACGTATCGTACTGAACCCTAGTTTTGGATTATATTGAGAACCGACTGCTGTTTCAAACGCCCGCTTCAGGAAGGTTTGCGGATGCAAACACTCGTCGCGACGAATCAAAATGGCGACTTCGCAAGGTATGTGTAGTAAAAAATACACATAGAACGTTACTTATTTAAACTATTTTGGTCGAAAGCTACTAGGAAACAAAAGTGTATTAAATAAAAAAAATATTTGCAAGGAATGAAGACCGTAAATGCTCAAACAAGGACATTTTAATAACAGATGATCAAGAGACACAAGACATTTCTCGCCTTCCAGCTTTGACATTTGAAGATGTTGTGAAGTATTCGAAGGATAGGTCCGGCTGCAGCAACACGGCAAAAGCGTGCAAGTTTATGGCTGAGCCAGGCTATCTACACGATATTAAAGGTACATAGATATTCTGTTTTCTTACTATAACCCAAAATATAATATTAAATATATGAACACAATTGTCCAGTAATTTGAAACGATATCTTTTATTGTTTTCAGTTATCTNTGGGGCTATGTTTAACAACTTGTTTAACAACATGCTTAACAAGATGTAGGGACTGTGTCACAATATGTCAATAAAAGTTTTGGTCTTGGCTTATAGCCAAGTGTTTATGATTTATTTTTCATTAGAATCCAACAGCTTCTGAAAGCTAAAAGTTAGGGGTCTCAGCTTATAGGCAAGTGAATATGGTATACTCAGACTGCAGAAGAACAGGAGGAAACAAAACAACAGTACCACCTCTGTGCTATTTTATCATTTATCTCCAGCATCAAATGTCAATTTCAAACCTTTTACATTTTTATGGAAATCTTTATACTTTATGAGAAGAACTCTGAAATATTGCACAAAAGATTCTTTAAATGAGAGGTGGAGATTGACTTTCAAAATGTTGTTTTTATTTTGCCTTCCTTTCATAGATTGATATGTATCCTTGTTTCAGGACAGGTAGACTACTCTATGTGTTTTTTTTTTCACATTTTTATAGAGATTTTCTTCTTTATGAGAAGAGCTCTGAAATGTTGTGCTAAAGATTCTTTGAATTTTTTCTATTTTTAAATCAAACTTAGAAACTGGATTTGAATTACTTAGCATTCAAAAAATGCAATTCAGGTAAAGGAGAAATTTTTAAGTTAAAAAGATTGACTAAAAGTATTAATGTGCATGGACTGCATCATTGCTCACATGCACTTCAGTAGTCATATGTAAAACAATCTTACTTGTCACCTTGTTTTTTGGCCTCTTCTCTTGCGTGTGCTAAATGATAATGATTAGTGCAAAAGTAGTGGGTGAGATGGTATTAAATTAAAATACAATAACTGACTGATGAAATGATGCATACCTCTTGCTTGGTTTTGTTTATGGTGGCACTACACACCTCAACACTACTGTGAAGGTGACTACATGATGTTTTGGGGCAAAATAACTTCCAGGGGGAGCCTGTCCTCCTTTGTGCCGTGCAGACTTTATTTTGGCTACACATGCAACATTTCTATTTTCAATTTAGCATATTTTAGCTTTCCACCTTTCTTTCATATAGTTATTGTAAGTTACTTTGTAAACAATTTGATCTTTTTACATTTTAAAACTTTTTTTGGATGATCTGATGCACAATCAGATTCTTGATCCAGTCCATAAACTGGGTTATAATCTGATGTGGTTGGATCTGGGTTTTGTCAATGCCTTCAGATCACATGTTCAGGTCCCAAGAAAGTGTAAGCCTGTCAGTGGACCAGGACATATCTTCTCAAGGTGTATATTAAATGGCTTTTAAGTAGGTCATAAACCAAGAACTTCAGCCATGTTTGATTGAATTGTTATGAAACTGGTACCGGAATGAGATTTTCAAGTTCAGGTTTTTTATTGTCCTTGCAAAAAAATGTGTGAA